CACACGTATTCCCTCCCATGTGCGAGGCATGTATTTGTGTGTGCTAGGTACTGGTGAGGCATCCGTTCACACGTGTGTGAGGCATGTCTTCAGGTGTGGATGGCCCCCTCGCTCCCTGTCCCTTATCCCAGGTGTTATGTCCCCTGCCCCCTCAGCCCCAGACTGCCACAGTCACGAGGCTGGGGCCTGGCCTCCATGGCCCTGATGAGGTGCTAAGTGACAGCCTGGCTGCTGGCCTGGCAGGGATGTGGACACGGGGCTTGTGTTGGTGTGCAGGCCTCTGTTCTCAGACCCCCTTGGGAGCATCCTGTCCATTTGTGGCATGTGGAACATTTCCAATAAAGTGAAGCAGATTTAGAAGAAGTGCCGTCTGTGGTCTCTCAGTGGGCACTTTCCACACTTTGCGACCCTTACTCGGGTCACGGCCAAGGCCTGGAGATGGGGGCTGGGGTGGGGGTTGGAGGTTGAGGGACCTGGGAGGGGGGGCGGCTGTGGCAGTGGGGAGCAAGTTTCTGGGGAGTTGCTGTGGGGGAGGGCCCTGCAGCTGCCCAGGAACCTGGCAGTACCAGCATGGGGGTGACCAGCTGGAGGCCATGGGGTGCATGGGGGTGCAGAACGAGAGGACACGTATCACCGCAGGCTCCCAGAGTAGGTGCCCACGTTTTGTGTGGCACACTGTACTGGGGGTACTTTCCACCACAAACTACCCACGGCCTGTGGGTCCCCCAGTACGAGGAGCAGCCTGGCCTTCTCTGACAGGCCGAGCCTTCGATGAAAACAGAGTTCCTTCAGCTCAGCCTCCTTTGCAGCCGGGATGGAGAGGGCCAGGGCCGGGCTGGGGACCCGGGGGATTGAGGCTGGAGGTGGGAGAGCAGGGCTGATCCGCTTGCACAGGGTCCTCGGGAAGAGCCGGCCTCCATCTGCTTGGCAGCTGAGCATGCAGCACCCCCACACCCAAGGGGCTCCAGGGAGTGGGGCTGGAATCCAGGCTGGGGGGCACATCCTGATGTGGGGGTGCGGTGGGGGGCAGGCGGAGTTGTTAGCGGGAGCTTGGAGCCTGGCAGTGGCAGCTGGCCGGGCACCTAACAGTCTCCCCACCCAGCCCCCAGGCCTTGGGCGACCAGGGCTCCTCGTTGCGGCCGAAAGGACCCTCTGGGCCAGCCCCAGGTTCCCTTGCCCACCTCGTGCAAGGGGATGTGCACCCCCACGGGACCTCCTGAGGTTGATGCCCCCCTCCCCCACAGGAAACTGTTCCCCAGGACCTTCAGTGGGGCCCTGCCCCTGAGGGTGACAACCTGCTTTGGCTGTCCTGAGACTGGACCCCTTTGACCTGCTGACCTTGCAGGGACAGCCCGACCCACCCACTCACTCGAGGACACAGGCATTTGGATGCATTCAAGCCCTCCCCGCCACCCAGACCCACACTCACACCCACACCCACACCACCTACATGCTCATGTGCATATCACACCCACGCATGCACACAGGGTGACTGGCTCTGTGAACCACACAACCGGTTCCATTCAAGGGACACTCTTAGGCTTAGGCTAGCCATTCCAGAAGATTCCAGAAATTCAGAGAAGTCGATAGAGCAAAGGTGGGAAGAAGAAACCCCTCCTGCCCCCCGCCAACCTCTGCTGATATTTTCTGTCAGTCGGGGTCCTGCTGGTCCACCCGTGGCTTCAACCCCTCCCTCTCAGGCCCTGCTTTCTGCCAACTACAAAGAAAGCCTTCAGCTTCCCTCTCTCCTTCCCGATCCCTCCTCCTAGCCATGGGCTTTGCCTCCCTGCCTCCCCCCACCCCAGCCTCCCCCTCCCTCCTGTCGGACAATTAGGCTGTCTCTAATTAGTCGCTCTTCTAAGAGAAGCTGCAACGCACCTCCTTGCGCTGGGGCGTTTTTCTATATTTGGGATTATCTCCTCGAAGAGGCTCTCATTAGCGAAATTGTGGGCCTGAGCATTTGCGCGCCCTCCTCTGGGGCTTCTAGAAGCCGTGGAAGTAGGGCTGTGCCTGGGGAGCGGGCTTAGCAGCTTTCCACAGGAGAGACCTGGCCC